AGTGAATAGTGATTTATAGCCATCAGAATATAGTAATTTTCTTCTTTACACGTTTTAAATCCAATGATATATAATGAGACCATATAAAATATATTAGATTTTAATAATAACTGCTTATTAGGCTAAATCATTTTTTTAAACATTACCTGATAAACTAAACAATTCGTGATACATTCCTCAATATATCGAATAATAATTATCCATCAAAATTTTTGTTGAATTTTTTTTAAAGTTTTATTGACTCTACAACATCCAGTAAATTTACTATGAAAGAAATACATTAAATAAATTTTATATCTTCCTCGTATATATAACTATTCTATTTTATAGTGAGTAGATAAGTTATTTATTCATACTACATCTATTGGAATACTATTTATCTCTTAAAATATCAATCATATCTTAATAAGATGAAATAACACAAAAACATTCGTAATCCTCCAATGACTTAATGCAAAATAAAATTATGTAGTTAAGATTAGTGTCATTATTTATTGATTTGATTATCCAATAATCTAGACATTTTTGAATTATCTGAATCCGTTCAAATTCTAAATTAAATTCTAAAAATTTTAATTTCCATCCATATAATTTTCTAGTGATAATAAAGTCTATACCTATAATGCCTTTGCAATAAGTTTTAATCAATATCATAGATCATTTAATATAATAATAAAATGTTTCAAAAGTTATAACTATTGAAAATAATTTTTTTTAGATTGAACTCTATTTCCGCTGAATATCACTAAGTTTTCTTGACGTATAGTAAACATATTTAGCTTTATCTATATTGTCTATATTGGTTATTGATTTAATAACTGGGTGTTCGGTGACTTTACTAGTGTACTTAACAAACAAATTAATAAAGAGCATGTAGAGATGCCTCTACGATTTCGTTTTATTTATATATATTTTTAAATGCTTTGAACGAGTAATTCTTAATTATGTGCGCTACTTCGTTCAACATTCTTTAATTTCAATAAGCATTTATTTACTTTAATAAAAATCCTTATTTTTATCAAAAATTTAAATCCTTATTTAATATTGGTCAATAAAAGGATTCATTAACCCTTTCGGCTATAAAAAGGACTAGCTATGTGAGGAACACGTAGTTGGTTATGCTAACTAAAAAAAAAAAAAAAAAATTATTGGAATTTTTTTTGAGATATTTTCCTTTTGAAAAATGGAGATAAAAAAAAAAAAATGTATTTATTTTTTTTTAGAGAATATTTTTTTTTATGGAGAGAAGGATGTATATTTTTTAACAAAAGATAATAATGCTTATATAAAATAGTTTAATTTTCATAATATTTATATTATTAATTTGTGAGAGAAAATTTTATACCTAAGACCATAAAATTTTCACGTAATTAATATTCATATAATTTATTTGCATTTTTACTAATTTTTTATGTTTGTTAATTCAACAGCAATATGTTAAAATTTCTGAACATAATACATGACAAAGAAATAAGTAATTTACATTTAATTAATAATCAATATTCAATAAGGATTTAAACTTTTAATAAAAATAGGGATTTTTATTATAGTAAAGAAATTCCCATTGAAATTAAGAATGCTGAACGAAGTAGAGCGCACATTTAAGAATTACTTGTTCAAAGCATATAAAAAAGATATACAAATATAACAAAATCGTAGAGACATCTCTACATGCTCTTTATTAATTTGTTTTTTCAGTACTCTAGTAAAGTCACCGATCACCCAATTAATAAATCAAATATCGACTATTAATTAAATGTGAATTACTTATTTCTTTGTTATGAGTTATGTTCAGGAATTTAAATATATTCCTGTTGAATTAACAAACATAAACAATTAGTAAAAATGCAAATAAATTATGAGAATATTAATTACGCAAATTTTTTATTGTCATATGTATAAAATTTTCTCTCACAAATTCAAAATATAAATATTATGAAAATTAAACACTCTTATGAAAACATTATTATCTTTTTAAAATCTCATTTTTATTGGTACTAATTCTTACTCTCGACTTTTATTTTACCAATCTTCTCTTTTCGTCTCTGAATATATCATTTAAAAAAAATAATAAATATCTTTTTTTTTTTTTTTTTTTAGTTAGCACAACTAACTAGGTATTCTTCACATAGATAGTCCTTTTTATAACCAAAAAGGTTAATGAAGCCTTTTATTTACCAGTTATACATTGCTTTATAAACAATATTATTGACCATCTTTGTATAATATTTACACAAATAAGTAGAATAAAAACATTTTATTTTGTGCATGCTAATTTAAAAGGACAATCTGCTATCATAAATGTCTGCTCTAAAATAGATATTCAAAAGGTATGTAAGCAAAAAATATATTTATATATTTACTTGCACTTAATGTGAGTGCACTTAAAAAAAAATATATATTATGATGATATTTTTTTTATTATAAAAAAAAAAAAATGTAATCTTAAAAAAAGAAATTAGTTTTTCTTTTTTTTTTTTTGGAGGATAATGTGCAGACTACTACAGAATGTATATTATTATTTTAAGCTAAAATGTAATATTAAGGAAATTACATTTTAGAGTGTTGCTTATATTAAAAAAAAAACAATTAACTAATAAGTTATATTAAATGTTTATTAATAAAAAAAAAATTTATATTAAAATTAAGTAGAGTTTACGCTACATTTTCCTTATTAATTTATTTCTTTGACATGAGGAAAGTAATTTAACTGTCATTAATAAATCAGAGCTATAAATAATTTCTTTTCCTTAGGAATATTATCTTATTTATAATTATTATAATCATTTAATACATCATAAACTATCATTTTTATAATTTATGTTTCTATATCTGCAACACACACACTATTCAAATTATTTTAATATCATGTATATCTATGTTAAATGTAAGACACTTTTATATTATACATATTTTTACTTGTAAGAACAACTTCTACATATAATATTAAAAAAATATAAATCATAAAAAATGCACTTATATTAAATTTATGATTATTTCTTAGAGAAAAATTAGTGTTAAAATATTAAAAATGATAGTATTTATGCACACCACTCTTTATTAATAATACGTCAAAGATTCTAACAAATTAAATTTAAAAAGTAATAATTCTTATTAAAATTCTTCATTGATGTTTACAAGGATGTCTTATAAAATTTAAACTTTTAAGAAAAAAGTTATATTAGAAAGGGACAATTGTTGAATTCATTTATACTATATAAATGATTTACCTAAATTTCGCAAGTAAAATGAAAAATAAAAAATTGTGCTATAAATATATATAACTAAAAATAAAAAAGAAAATAAACATATCGTAATAATAATAAACACTTATCAAATACATATGTAAAGGTAAAAAAAAAAAAAAAATTTATTTTTTTAATATTTAATTAGAAGATTATAATAATATATATATATAAAAAGTTATATTATAATTCTCTTTTATCTTTATTTATTGATATTTATTATATCACGCTAAAAATACTTTCTTTTGAATTTTATAAGAAAAAATCTATTATATTTAATTTAAGATATATTTTTATATTCAGTAAATAATATTTATATTAAAATTGAAACTAATAAGTATTACTAGTAAAAAAGTAAATTTACAGAAATATATTTTTAGAATAAAGTAAATTTGTCAAAAAATAAAACTTCTTTTAAAAAATATTTTTTACTTTAAATATGTGATTAAGAAAATAGTATTTTTTTTTTTTTTTTAAATTGTAATTAATTTATTTGACTTTTAAATATGCTTTTTACATGATTTGCTATTATAATTTCTTAAAAATAAATACCTATCTTCACTTTTTCTTTTGATTTTAAGTACTTACAAATTTTTTTTATTTTTTTTCAAATAGTTGAAAAAGTAATTTTTTTTAAATAATAGTTATAACAAAAAATAAATAAATACTTATATTGTATAAACATTTATCAATAATAAAAATAAAAAAAAAAAGAATTAAGATAAAAAAAATATAATAGAAAAATCAAAATAGTTACATTTAAAGCAAAAACATGCACAATGAAAAATTAGTTTCATATATAATTAAAAATGACTACAAATATAGTATAATGTATGAAAAATACATGCGTATAAAAATTTTTAATTTATAGAGTTTTTTTTTCTTTTTTTGATGGAGATATATCTATATAATATACCAAGATTTATATTTATAAATCATAGTATACCGTATATAAAATAATTTAAAGTGCGACATAATTCACAGAGATTAGTAATTTAGAAAAAAAAAATTAAAAAAATACTTCAACATTAAATGTATATCATTTATAATTTTTATGTGCATTAAATTAAAAATATTTTATTTTTTTACATAATTTAAAGATAAATAAAATTTTAATAGAATATTTTTAAAATAACTTTATCCGATTTGTTACATTTTTTATTTATTTGTTAATTAACATTCTTATTTTATTTTTTAAAGATTTAAAAATATTATTTCTATCTAATGTTACTATAATATCGTGTGTAATAATAAAAAATTAGAAATTACATTTCATATATGAAAATAATTTTCTATTTTAAAAATTTAAGAAATTAGTACAAGTTATAATAATATCTAAATTAATATTACAAATCCATAATTTAGCATTATTGAAAATTGAAACAGTTTTACACTTGAATTAACAACTTCCACTTCAATATTNCCACTTTAATTTTAAGGAATGAAAATATAATATTTTTTTTTTATTTGCACTTTTTTTTTTTTTTTTTTTTTTCATGGGTCCTAATGGCACCCTATGGGTCCTTATGGTACCCTATGTGTTCTAATGGCACCCTATGGGTCTTAATGACACCCTACAGGTCCTAATGGCACCGTACGGGTTCTTTGGTATCCTATGGGTCCTAATAGCACCCTATGGGTCCTAATGGCACCCTGCAGATCCTAATGGCACCCTATGGGTTTTTATGGCACGCTATGGGTACTAATGGCATTCTATGAATCCTAATGGCACCCTACAGGTCCTTATGGCACCCTATGGTCCTAATAGCACCCTATGGGTTCTTATGGCTCTTTATGGGTCCTAATAGCACCCTATGGGTCCTAATGGCATCCTACAGGTCCTAATGGTGCCCTACGGGTCCTAATAGCACCCCATGGACCCTAATTGCACCCTATGGGTCCTTATGTAGGCCCTATGGGTCCTAATGGCACCCTGTGGGTCCTTATGGTGCCCTGCAGGTCCTAATGGCACCCTGTGGGTACTTATGGTGCCCTACAGGTTCTTATGGCACCCTACGGGTCCTAATGGCACATGGGAAAATGCGGATATATACAAGAATCCGTACAATTATTGGAATGAGGTCACTGCTCCACAAATGAGGAAGCTATTTAATGATGAAACAAGTAGAATGGACCCTAAATGGAGAGACCAAAAATGGAATAATGACTGGAATGAAATTTCAGCTAACCACGTTAAAGATCTATATTCAATATCTCATCAACAAGATATTTCAGAGGAAGAAAAAAAAAAATTAATTCATAGTATTATGGAAAAACTTATGTCAGAATTTTTAAAATTTTTAGACGAATGTGAAAAAGAGATGAGAGACTATAAAATCAAATCCAAATGTAAGAACGAGATGAGAGATAATAAAACAAAATCCGAATCTATGAAAGAGATAAGAGACAATAAAACCGAATCCAAAGGTAAGAATGAGATGAAAGACAATAAAACAGAATCCGAATCTAAGAAAGAGATGATAGACAATAAAACAGAATCCGAATCTAAGAATGAGATGACAGACAATAAAACAGAATCCGAATCTAAGAATGATATGACAGACAATAAAACAGAATCCGAATTCAAGAATGAGATGACAGACAATAAAACAGAATCCGAAT